CCATGGACACAGTCAATAATGGGGTGAAGGCCTGGGGAGGAGGTGGGAGGGAGTCTCAAGTTATACTACAAAGCCACTGTAATCAAAACAGCCTGATACTGGAACAAGAACAGGCTTATAGATCAATGGAACAGAACAGAGAACCCAGAATCTGACCCAAGCCATCTTTTTTACAACCATGTAGTATTCCACTGTATAAGTGCATTAACAGTTTTTTACCCACTCATCTACTGATGGGCACTTGGGCTGTTTCCAGATCTTAGTTATTGTAAATAATGCTGCTATGAACATAGGGGTGCATATCTTCTTTCTGATTGGTGTTTCAGGATTATTAGGATATATTCCCAGGAGTGGGATTGTTGAGTCAAAAGGCAGTTCAACATAGTACTGGAAGTTCTAGCCACAGGGATAAGACAAGAATAAAAAATAAAAGGCATCCAAATTGGAAAGGAGGAAGTAAAACTGTCATTATTTGCAGAAGAGATGGAATTGTATACAGAAAATTCTAAAGACACCACAAAAAACTACTAGATCTAATACATGAATTTAGAAAAGTTGCAGGATACAAAATCAACATCCAGAAATTGATGGCATTTTTATACACCAATAATGAACCATGAAAAATAGAAACTAAGAAAACAACCGCATTTATTATTATAACAAACAATAAGTTACCTAGTAATAATTTTAACCACGGAGGTAAAAGACCTATAAGCAGAAAACTCTATGACACTGAAGAAAGAAACTGAGGAAAATATAAATTAGTGGAAGAGTATACCATCTTGATGGTTCGGAAGAGTTAATATCATTAAATGTCCATATTACCCAAAGGCAACTATAAATTCAATGCAATTTCTATTAAAATACCAATGGCATCTCTCACAGATCTAGCAAAAATATTCCAAAACTTTATATGGAACCAAAATATACCACTAACAGCCACACTGTGCAGGGGTTGCCCACTGAGTTGGGGTTGTTCTAACAGGGTCTGGAGCATTCCAGGGCCCACCTTTAGATTGTGCCTTTTGTGTGTCTAGTTGAGTTGAGCTCTCGTGTGGTCTGAAGCTCTCTCTCCTGGCTATATATCCTAATTACTTTATGTTGTTTTTTAGCCTTGTGATTCCTGTTAGCAATTACTCTGTACTGGTTCTGTGTACTTTGAGGTGGGTTTCAGATGCAGATTGCTATTAGATATTGTGTGTAACTGGCCTTGGGCTACCTGTGTGTAGCTACCACCCTGTTCATTGTTTATTTCTGCATCTACTAGACCTGTATGCATGTGGGAAGGACCAATGTGTGTACATGGGTTGTCTTTATTCACTTAGAGTAGGGGGCAGATCTGTGGTCAGACCAGTCTCCCTGAGGTCCACCTTCACCTGTCAGCTATTCTACTTCCTCCATGAGGTTGCCTGGTCTTTCAGAGCCTTCCAAAGAGAGTCAGTAGCATGGACCAAGGTTAGCCTAGGTTGGGATAGTTAGCCTGCTTGGACATTACAGAGTTAGGCACTCAATGAGGGAAAATTAGTCTCTGCTTCAAAGCCAAACTCCTCAGTCTCTACCAGTGACTCCAAATCTAGTTTCCCCTAGGGGGACTTGCTATAGGATCAGGTTAGGTACAGTCTGAAGTCTTCTCTGCAGAAGCAGTTTCAGTAGCCCTGGGCTCAGGGGGATTATCTCAAGAGTTTCTAGTTGGGATGCTGCCAGCCCAGCTCACAGGAGGGGGCTAAACACTTCTTCCTGGTCCCAGACAGTAGCCACTGAGGGTCTCACACTTTGAATGTCCTGCTCTGAGCTGCTCTCCTGTCCCCCAAAGAAGCCTCTCCAGGGGATGCAGTCCAACAATCCCAGCTCCGTGTGGCACTGGCACCCTTGCACCACCAGACCAAGCAGGAATGGGTAGAAAACTCAGTCCCGTGTAGGACTCTGGCCTCTCTTCATGGTCGGTCTCAGCAAAGCAGGGGCAAAATTTCCCAGCTTCAATTGGGCTCCCAAAGCTGTAGTGCGGGCCAAAAATCCCAGACCTGTGCCACTGCCCATGCTGCCAATTCAGCAGTACGGAGCAACCCAGGAGGCTCCCTGGGCAGGGGAAAGGGTTCTATTTGCTTGAGGTGGGAGAGAGCTTTCCCATTTCCCCAAGCCAAACAATTTAGTCACTGATGGGGCTCCCCGTGATGCCTTTCAAGAAAGTAGAGGGTCCCTCAAAGTTACTTTTGGGTACAGCCCATAACACTGGACCCAAACACAGCAGCATAGACTCTCCAACAGTTAGAGCCAGAAGCAAGCTTCTCAGGTGGAACTGCTAACAATAGAAGCACTTACTCACTGGGAAGGTGCATCCAAGTCTCCCAGGTAGAGTCCACCTTGCTATGCAGGCTCTTCTTCCTGTCTTTGCTGCTCTGGTTTGGAATCCCTGCATGGAGTTGAAACCTCACACTCCCATGGGGAGAGAGTTTTGCATCCAATATCCCTTGGGTCTCTCAGCCACCACACCTGCTTGAGGGGGGCTCCCATCTGCGACACCTCTCCTCTTACCAGTCTCTACGCGACTTCTTTAGTGCTTCTTAGATACATTTCCCATCAGCTATATTTCATTTGGTTTTTCAAGTTGACTGCACAATATTTTAGCTTTAAATCCAGTCTCTGGCTGGGAGCAAAGGCACACAACTTTCAGCTACTCTGCAGCCATCTTGATTCCTCTCGATTTCTTTTGACATCGTATTGATATGTATTAAGAAACCTTGAGAAAGTAAATGGAAACTCAGACTATTAGACTTGCCCCTTCAATTGTCCCCTTACCTTCAGTAGCATTTAAATACCTGCTAACCTACAATTTCTGGAATTCCCATACATGGTTAGTTCCTTTCTAAACAACAATTAAGAAGCTCCTAATTGTGAGAACCTATCAAATTTTGATGCCTCCCTCTCTTAATTTCATAGTGCTGTAAGAATTTTTTCTCTAGTTTTCTCTTCATTGGGTGTTCACAGATTCAGTCCAGCCTCCTGGCTATATGTCCTAATTACTTTGGGTTGTCTTTTAGCCTTGTGATTCCCACTGAGCAATTATTCTCTTCACTAAACTCAGAAATTCTCCTGGTATTTCCTCCTAATGAGAATACTGTCAAGTCATAAAAAATTTCTTGCAAAATTTTCTATATAATAAAGAAAAGTGGCAAGTAAGTATGCTTCTCTTTCAAAGATACCTGCATCCCAACAGGGGCTTATAATGGATTGAGTTCCCAAGTTCATTCCAAAGCTATAAGAACACTTCTGACCCCAAGTAATTAAAATTAAATACCAATTAAAAAAAATGTTTTACTACCTTCAAGTGCATAGAATTAAAACTTGGTTTACAGTATTTTTGTCTGTGGTTTTAGAGAGATCTCCATGGAACTTGTTTTAAGACAAGAATAAAAATAATTCATATTGAACTATCTTGTAAAAGAATGAATATTCCAGGAGTGATAACCCCCTCTTAAGTAAAGCATTGTAACCAAGTCAAATAATCAAAATAGAAAGAGACTTATATGCTAGATAAAATAACCAATACCAAACCATTTGGATAGTCTTATTTATTCTATTGATACTTTGCCAATGAAGATACAATTTAATCACAGTAAATGTTGCCCTACTTATTCTCAGTCTATAATCTGAAAATTATACTGTGTGTCAAGGGAATAAAAATATACACAGAATACGCAGATGCAATGGACTTTACAGTATTTCTTTCCCCCTGAGTAACTAATTATAGTTGAAGTTCATTATTTTAAGGAATTCAATGATAAATCCTTTCAGAAAGCAAATACTTTGTTGATCTGCATTTTAACAGTTTGTCCTAGTATTTGAGAGATGCATATGTTTACTTTGGCTAGAGAAAAAAAATAGTGACCCACCAGACAATAGAAGAAAAATGATCACCTTTAAGAAGAACTGAGGTGAAAGAATATTGTAAGCAGACAATCAGTAGTATGTCACTTTCCTACAGTTTTTAAAAATCAGTCATCCTATCCTTTCCTAGTTTTTTTTTTAAGGAACCTAAAATTAACATTTATTAAACACCTTCTATTTATTTAAGTACTGTGCTAGTAGCGAAATGTGTTAAAAGAAGTAACTATTCTATTCATATTCCAGTTTAGTTTTAAATCTTGACCCTATTTAAATGAGGGATATCAGAAAAAAATATGTCTTGCTATGACACTTAGGTTAAAATTTCAGACACTGGTTCTTTATAACGATATATGATTGAGTATATTCTTAGAAAAAGATTGATGATTCAAGTCTTATTGCTTTGGTATAACTAAAGCAGAAATTGCTACTAATTATTGTTCCTTATACTGTTTGTTCTTCCTTTCCACAATTTTTTCCCTTTGCTCGATGTCTACCTTTCAAAAGTTGTAGATCAAGTGCAACTTTTCTAAATCAAACAAGATTTAACTACTATATTCCCTGTTAATTTTGGCCTGCCCTTTGATTAACATCACTACTAATATCTGAATATGCCCTGGCCAGTGTTGCTCAGTTGGTTGAGCATAGTATGATGCACCAAGAGGCCACCAGTTCAGTTCCTCATCAGGGCACATGCCTGGGTTGCGGGCTTGATCCCCAGTATGGGACATGCCAGAGTCAGCAATCTATGTTTCTCTTTCCCTCTCTCTCTAAAAATCAATAAAAACATTTAAAAAAAATCTGAATGTTTTTGAAAAAAGGAAAACTGTATTACTTATTTAAATTGATACGAGAAATTATATGCCAAATGCGTTAACATCCTCAAGAATGTTACACGCAGTACATGTCACATGTTCCCATTAAGTACATTACATAAATTTTTTTTTTTACTTTACATTTAAAATATTTTCCCTAAATTTTTAATCTATAATTCAAAACTATTACATTTTCTTTTATCCTTTAAGTTCTCTGGAATACTTTCAAAATTAATAATTTCCTAATAATGTTACATAACTACAAAATTAAATATGAAATTCGTTATTACATAATAAGGTGAAAAATAAGGACTAAAAGAAAGCTACTGATTAATGTACACTACAGATTTTTTAAGATTCACTGTGACAAATAAACACACTTTTTAAATGTCAAAGAATATAAGACAAAACTTTTATTTTGAATGTGATTTAGAGTCACAGGATCAAACTTAAGAATCACTTATAACTTACTGCTTGATCAAAATTAACATAAAATGTAACAAATTATATTTTAACTCAAACTGACAAACCACTTCCTAAAGAAAAACTTCCTGTTCTATGCTATCATAATTTTTCCTGTGGAATACTGGCAAAGAATATAGTTATATTGGGCCACAAATGGTTATAAATAACATTTTAAGGTAATTTAAATAAAATATACATACATTACTCAAAATAAATATTTGGATTATTTTCTTTGGAAAGTTAGCTTGCAAATGAAAAGAAGCAATCCAAATCCGCATACTGTAATAGCTGTCCTCTTCAAAATTCTACTATTCCATGTAGATTCTTCTTCTATTAATGGAATATGAGTTGGATCATTTTCTCTTTCATTTTGCAACTAATATTTGGCATGGGAAAAAAAGAGTTAATGTACATACAGTACTTTGAAAATAGAAATATATTTGATTTAAAAAATATTAAAATTATATCCATGTCAGTACATAATTTAGATGTAGCCAGTACAAGATTCTTATGTAAGATTTAAAGTGACCACATGTCTTTCAACAGTCTTTCTTTCACCAGGATTCCATTACAGTAAATCATTAGTTTCACATTAAAAATAAACGCTCTTATAGTTATTATATTTTAACATCATGTTTTTATGTCACAAGATAAAGTTCCTTTAATGTTAAAGTTCCTATTTCTACCTAAGAAATGACAATTATAACTTTTTTCCTTCTGTATTAAATATCAATTGACTTCTTACAAAAAAGTTAACCATTCTTATACCTACAATATGTAAAATTTAACAAAAGCTGTAAGATTTTATGCTAATGCTAGAAGTTTAATTCTTTACTTAAATACAATTAAGGAATAAATGTCAATAAAACCTAAGTGGTTCTCCCAGTACTTTTCTGCAAGAAACTACACTACATGACCCAGTCAGTTTCTCAGGTACTATACACAGAACTTTCTAGCTAAAGGTCCCTCAAATCGTGTGTGTGCGCGCGTGCGCGCGTGTGTGTGTGTGTGTGTGTGTGTGTGTGAGAGGAGGTGGGAGAGGGGAAAAGGGAGGGGGAGTGAGAGGGGGACTAAAAAGGGGAGAGAGAAAGGGAGGGAGAGGGGGAGAAAGACGGACAGTTGTTGGGCAAGGAGTAGGAGAGAGAGAATGACCAGAAACCGAAAGACCTTTGAAAGATAAAAACAATCAGGCACGTTTATAGTGAGTGACATTTACTAGAAGCATCCTGTGCTGGAGTGGTGACAAATACTTTCATCATTAGCAAGAGTAACTACTTCTAAAATCTACAATGTAAATATTTAATTTAAAGAGCCTGCAAAAGTAATTTTAAATTTATAGTAGAAATGGACTTTAGTGTCAATCTCATTAATACTGTATTCTTGGTCTAACTTCCAAATGGCTTCATTCAGCAACAGATTCCTTTTTGACACTGATGCTCCATTTACTGAATCCTGAGACAGTCATTCCTTTTATTAACCAATTATTTAGAATGACCCTTTCTGACAAGAGCCTGTCAGTGTGTTGGTTTGAGAGAGAGTGATGTGGTGCTAAAGTCCAGCCTTGACCTCTCCTACCCTCTCTCTTTATCTCCATACACTTATGATAACTCATACGGTTCTTTAAAAAAATTCCCTTCACTTATTATTGGTAAACTTTGAAATATCATTAAACAGGCATGATAGCATATTTCCAAATTTGGAACCCCTTAAGTTCTTAAAATAAAATTTCACTATGGTGATTGCTACTTGTTTAAGACTAATCCAGAAAAACCAATGCACTAGCTTGGTCTAAAACTAATACTTTCCTGTCCAAAGAACTGTATCTGCAATTATTATAAATCAATAAATGTGTTTTCAAGACTAGTCCTCATATAGAAATGTAAAGACTTAAGGTAAAGAGGGTCACAGAAAAAAGGTCTTTCATTTAGCTAAAGAAAGTTGAAATTTCTGTTTATAGTACACATTATTAAAATAAATATAATATCTGATTTGATTATTTATGTTTTAGAGTCAGAGTCAACCCTAGAGCAGTGTTGCTTAATTTTATTCCTTTAAGAAAAATCTGGTCTCTCTCTAATTTCATCTCAATCCTCCATCCCCACATTCAAAATGTTTTTATTTTAAAGAAACCAAATAATTATCAATCTGAGGCAATAATATCTTAGGGAATTTCCCACACTAAACAGTAAAGGTTGATGCTTTATAGGACTATTTTTACATAAATCCTTCCCAATGTCCCTTGGATTCCCAAGAGATACACCATACTAGGTAAAATCAATACCATTTTCCTTCAATTTTCCTAGATGATGCAGGTAGTGAAGATAAATAGTGCTATAATTTTCATGTTTTTAGCAAGTCAGTCTCTCTCCAGCCTGTGTAGCACAATTTGCCTGACATACAGAAGGCATTCTTATGTTTGTTGAATGAATAAATGTGAGCAATAATACAACTTCTATGGTGCGTCTTTCCCTGGTGACTTAGCTTCTTCAAGAATTTTGAAATAAATTGCTTATTCGCACCATTTTGAAATATCTTTATTTTCCTACTTTTTTGTAGAATTTGCTTCTCAATTTTCTGCTCACTTTTTAAAAAGACTCCTTTTCACTGAACATATATATGTTAATAGCTAGATTGACAAATTACTTGGAACATGTATAAAATTTATTTTGAGGATAAAATTATTTTTTTCATTTAAAAAACTTTTAAAAAACTTTAAAAATGAAAATATTAAATAATTTATGACTTGATGCTATAAAAATTTAATGCATAATCTAATGTTCACATCATATATTTAAAAAAACTTTATAGATATAAAATGTATTTATTATACAGACATGAAGAACTCAGAAGTAAGTTCTTTAGTCAGATAAAAGTGTTTTCCTTTATTAACTAGCTTCAAAGGAGTTCCCAATTTTAGCAGCTTAGGTTTTGTCACAGACTATTTTCTGAAAGGGGGAAAATCACCTGTCTTTGAATCCAGATATATACTTCTATGTGAGTACAGAAACAAGGACAACAACACAAAAGCCCACACTTTTTAAAAAAAATAGTTAAATTATAAAAGATATTATAGAAAGTCTAAAAACCAGAATGAATATTTTATCCACAATCCTACTTCATTATCACAGCTAATAAACTTTCATTTTAGTAATTTTTTATCTGCATATTTACATATAAGTAAAACTTACAAATACTAACTTCATATCTTTAACAAGTTGATACTTGATTTTCATTAATTTTTCAACTGGCTGCATATTATTATAATAAATAAGTGTACCATAATTTATTTAATCATCCTGCTAGTATAGGACAGTCACAGTACATACAATTTTGGAATCTTTAAACTATTATTGAAAGATACAAATATTTTTATGATTCTTAGCACATCTTGCCAAACTATTTCTGAAAAAGGTTATGATACTTGTATCACATGAGACTATCAGTTTGGTAAACTCTAACCAGAAATGGGTAGAGCAATACACTTATCCATGCTAATTTAAAAGATGAAAATGATGTATCATTTTTCTTTTAGTATGCATTTCTTTAATGAGTGACAAAGTTTCCTATGTATACTTCTTTCTTTGGAAACTGTTCTCTTTCCAATTGTTTAGTGGGAGCTTATGTAGCTCTTGTCAGAATTACTTCACTGTCTAACATACTATGCTGCAAATTATTTCCTCCATTTTTATGTTAAATATATACCTTCTGAATTAAGTCTTTTAGTTTGCAGACCTCTTCATTCAAGTCTTCGACATTGCTAACCAGTTCTTCACAAACTGAAGTAAAATTCCGAGGAGAAGCCCATTCAAGTACTATCTGTTAATGTTTTCAAAAGTTGCATGTTAAAGAACAGAAAACAACTTTCACAACTTCATATCCACAAAAATTATACAACATTAAATTAACTGAAAAGCATTTTTGTCCAGGATAAATCCTCACACCAAAAAAAAGTCAGTAATATTATACAGTCAAATCAAGTTTCTTGAATGAATTTACTAAATATATACAGTATATATAACTTTATGGAGACTAATATTAGTAAAAATATTTATGGTACAAAATAAATTCATAAAAGTTTAAAGAATGACGATTCCCATATTAGTGTTATAAAAAAATCACATGAAAACAATCAGGTTAAAATTATAAACAAACAGCTAAAGCCAAATCACATGAAAAACAAAATGAGTTTGCTTTTATAGATCACTTAAATTTCCTCTAAAATTTCCAGCCTCCTTTTGCAACCATATCAAAATTACAACTAAACTATAGAACCACCAACATTTAGAACTCCCTGATATCTGGCTGAATGGAATCTCTACAACTAGGGAATTAAAGAAGCCACATGGAGACTGGTACGAGAGGGGGAGACGTGGAATGGAATGGTCCCACACTCATGTGTAGCAGACAAAAATCAGGAGTGATATCTTGGCTGCAGAGGTCCCCTGAGGAGCGAGGGGTCTTAGCCCCACACCAGGGCCCCCAGCCCAGGGTTCCAGTGTCAGGAAGAGAAGTCTCCATAACTTCTGACTGTAAAAACCAGCAGGGGCCCTGTTGGGGTAGCTGAGTTGGTCAGAGCATCATCCCGACATGCCAAAGTTGCAGATTCAATCCCCGGTCAGGGCACATACACGGATCAACCAGTGACTGCATAAAATAAGTAGAACAATAAATTGATTTTTTTTTCTCTCTCTCTTCTCAAATCAACAAGTAAAAAATAAAAAATAAAAATTTAAAAGCTGGGTTGAGGCTGAGGGAGACAGAGGTTTGCTGCAGTCCCAGGTAGTTTCTCTTAAAGGGCCCACACACAGACTTACTCAGACTCACTCTGAGCTCCAGCACTGGGGCAGCAGTTCAAAGGGCACCAGAGACATACAAGAAGGAACTGAATTGTCCAACATCAGGGTGAGAGCTAGTGGGGCAGCTTTATCTCAAAGAGAAGTGCTGGCAGAGGCCATTGTTCCATTGATGAGCCCACCCTTTTCAGAGCTGGTAGGTAGGTGCCATATTTGAGACTCTATCAACCTGCCTTACCAGTTTACCCAACCCTCGTGATTCTGAGACCCCGCCCCACTCAACTTTGGGGCTCACCCAGTCTGTTTCCAGTGGCTTTTCCAAATGAATGACCTATTCTGGCTAATGCTTTAGATTTTCCTAAAATCTCTCAAACAAGCAGCATCTGATCTCAGCAAGCCCCTAACCTCTCGATAAGTGGCCCTAGGCCCAACACTAGCCACAGCTTGCCTTGGCTCACAGTTTGGCCTCCCCTGGGCACCTCTAAGCTCAGCAGAAGCAGCAGCCATCTGTAGATTGTTTTGTAGCTTGTGCTGGTTGGAACCAGGCAGAAAAGAAGCAGTGGCTAACCTTGGCCTGCACCTCCAGGAAGGCCTCAGAGCCACCACCCAGTGGACAGCTTCAGACAGCATTGAAGCACCTCCACTCAAACACCCCAAGTGACACACTCAAGGGGTAGACTCAGCAGGCACCAGAGCCAGGCTGAAGTCAGTCCTGGTGGGTGGGGTGGGCCCCTGCACAGCTGACCCTCCATGGTGGGGTGATCGGAGGTCAGTGGCTAGAGTTCGTGGTTAGTTCATGCAGCTGACTGGCCTGGGGGTACATCCCTCCCACTGATGTGTCAACAGCAATCAAAGTTCAACTACAAAAGGAGGCTATATACAGCCCACACAGGAGATGCACCTCGAGTGTCCTACTTGGGTGATTGGGAGGCTGTGTGCCATTGGGCCCTACAGAATACCTACTACATTAGGCCACTCTACCAAGCCTGGGAGACATAGCAGCTCTGCCTAATAAGTAAAAACAAACACAGGGAGGCTGCCACAATGAGGAGAAAAGAAACATGTCCCAAATGAAAGAACAAAACAAAATTACAGAAAAACAAGTAAACAGAATGGAGACAAGCAATCTATATAAATGCTGAGTTCAAAACACTGGTTATAAGGATGCTTAATGAACTTAGTGAGAGCTTCAACAGTATAAAAATGGACTAGTCAGAAATAAATGCTACACTAAATGAAATGAAGAATAATTTATAGGGAATCAACAATACAGTAATAGATGAAGCCAAGAATCAAATGAGCAATTTGGAATATTAGGAAACAAAAAACACCCAATCAGAAGAGAGAAAAAAAAGAATCCAAAAATATGAAGATAGTGTAAGGAGCCTCTGAGACAACTTTAAGCATACAGTAAAACCTTGATATAAGCGACTAATTCAAACAAGGAGGTGCCCGTTAAAGCTGAAAGTCTGTTGTATAATAAAGTAGGTTTTCCAAATGTGTATCTTAAAAAATTGATAAATTAGTTTACCTGTTTTTACTTACGTAGACACATATGTGTAATTAAAATTATGTATGAAAAGTTTAATTTCACAGAAAAGCTTTCTATATGTATTATGGTTATTTTACATTTATACTGAATAGGCCTAGTAAATGTATGCATTCACCAAGCACCCTAAGTAAACACATGCACACGGCTGGGGTGTAGCTTAGCACACATCAGAACATTAGCCAGCACATGTTAAAACTGCTGCAGAAAGTTGACACACACAACAACAGCATCAATTACGTTCTGCAAGCGATGTGGTGTGATCACGTGCTAATCATTCACCAAACATTGTTTATGAGTGGTGACTCTTGGATTTAAAGACTGTAATTGTAGACATGTAATATTTATGTTGGCAAAATTACTACAGTGTTTTTCTAACATATGGTGTATTCACTAAAATTTGTTAAAAATAACAGTGAATTAACAAAAAATTAACTGCTGTTTTAATTATAAGCAAATTTTGGTTAAAAGGATTTTAAAATTAACAAGGTGTTAATTTTCACATGACATATGGACTGGAAATTTTGTCCATTAAATAAGAAGTCCATTAAATTGAGGTCCACAAAATTGAGGGTTTATTGTACTAACATTTGCATCATGAAGTTGCTGGAAGGAGAAGGAGAGCAAGAAATTGAAAATCTATTTCAAAAAATGACTAAAAACTTCCCTTACCAGGTGAAGGATATAAACACACAAGTCCAGAAAGCACAGAGTGCCAAACAAGATGAACCCAAAGAGGTCCACAACAAGATACATCATAATTAAAATGCAAAAGATTAAAGAAAAAGAGACACTCTTAAAAGTAGCAAGAGAAAGACAGTTAGTTACCTACAAGGGAGCTCCCATAAGGATGTCAGCTGCTTTCTCAACAGAAACTTTGCAGGCCAGAAGGGAGTGGCAAGAAATATTAAAAATGATGAAAAGCAAGAACCTATAACCAAGATTACTCTACCCAGCAAGGCTACCATTTAAAATCAAAGGATAGATAAAGAGCTTCCCAGACCAAAAAAAAAAAACACACAAGGAATTCATCACCACCAAACCAGTATTACACGAAATGTTAAAGGGTCTTCTTTAAGAAGAAGAAAAGATAAAAAACATGAACAATAGGCACTAAGAGAAGATTGGAAGATTGGGGCAGAGTAGGTGGATCTTCCTCTTACCTCCTCCCAGAATCTAACTGGAATTAAAACTAAATTGGGGACTAGTCACCCTGAAATACCAGCTGACGACTGGCTGAAGCAGAGACATTTAAACAAGGAAGCACAGAAACCACCTTAGATTGGCAGGAAGGGCAGGGATGCAAGAGGCACTGGCCCAGATCCCTGGAGTGGTGGGCCAAGGATGAGAAAGGTTCCCCCAGAGAGGAGAGAGGCCTGGACCCCAGGCAGGGCTCCCCAGCCCAAATGGCGAGAGCCAGGAACAGCCATCCATGCAGCAACCAGCAAGGGGGCTTCTATCAGCCAGGGAGTTGAGCTGCCCAGAGACAAAGCTGATATGGGCTGGCGAACAGAACTTCCATACTGCAGGTTTAAGTGGAGGGAGGAAAATGCAGAATAGAGTCACCTAAGAAGAGACAGGGTTGGGAAGAGTTGCGGGGATGGAGGATGCTAAGATACCTGTGTTGAGTCATCCCTCCCACCGATATAGCAGTAGCCATTTTTCTCCAGAGGCACAAGCTCCTCCCAACAGGAAAAACCAGGGAAAAGGCAAACAGCCTGACCCCTGGTATACAGCTCACTCCACCCTAAGGAATTCCATTCTCCCAACCCTGTGGAATCCAGCATGCCCCGCCCTGCATCTTGACCCCTGTAGAGGAGGCAGTAGTCTTAGGGAACAGGAGTCTCAGGGAACATCAGTGGCTGGCTTTGGGGTGGGGAAATTCTCCCCATATTCTAGGGAACCTGGCTGGTACTTCCCTCTCAGGGGAGAGTTGACAGAAACCTCTGGCTTCCAGCACACCCCAAGGCCTGACTAAGAGGGACTCCACCCAGTCAAGGATGGGAAATAGTCTGGGTACACACCCACCATCTTTCCCAGAAGTCTGAACGTTTTCTGGCACACCAATGGGCCCTCTGCTGCAAAGAAAACAGCCTAGGAGCTCAGCTTGGCCCCTCCCATGGGCAGCCAAGCCCAGTGGAGGTAGCTACAAGCTGTGGATTGCTTTGAAGCTTTGAACAGGGCACTGAAATCCAAACTTGGACAACTTCTGACATTGTTTAGCAAAAAAGTACCTCCAGGGAGGCCCAAAATCAGCATACAAAAAGTTAGCCCCAGACAACATAACAGCAGGATCCAAAGGAAAATCCTCGCAGACATTAAAATCTCCCAAGATGAACTTCCAACTACCCCTGTTTTTTTTGGTGTTTTTTCTCCATTATTTTCTTTTTTATTGCTTTAGTATTATTACTGTTATTTTTCTCTTTTCTCTCGTTTCTTTTATATCTCTTATTTGCTTCTTTCCTTTTCTTACT